GTCTCTCCCTCGCGCTCTCTCTCTCTCTCTCTCTCTCTCTTACTCTCTGTCTTACTCTCTGTCTCACCCCTATCTCCCCTATCTCCCCTATCTCCCCTATCTTCCCTATCTTCCCTATCTCCCCTACCATCCCTACCACCCCTACCGCCCCTTACCCATCGACCTGCAGCCGCCAAAGTGACAGCCTCGCAAGAAAGTGCCCACGAGGAAGATCCTGAACGTTCGGGTTTGCAGATGCCCGGAACTGGAGGCCTGCATCAGCTCGTTACTCTGGTGCGACGGGGTACGTCATTGTCCGTCGGGTTTCGACGAGCGCGAGGAGAACTGCTCGTACCGCTTCGGGGTGACTTTACTCTACGTGGCCATCGGGGCCGGGGCCCTCGGTATCTTTCTCATCCTCCTTCTGGCCACGGGATGCCTCAAGTACTGCCTATACAGGCGCCGGCGATTCCAGCGCCGACAGCTGCAGAAGAAAATGTCCCCTCAGGTACGATGGACCTCGGCTCTTTCGATAGGTTAGCTTCGAGCGTCGCATTGCCTGATTCGAGCTACTAATATTCGTCCCGTAAACTCAGGATGATGTAATAGCACGGCAAATGTGCAATGTTAAGATGGCGACGGGCAGATGGGTTGGATAAATGGCCGAGCAGGCAATTGGTGGTGAATGTGAAAAAATGCAAAAAAAAATGCCATGAATAGGGATGTGTCGGGGTTTTCGTTACTCGGATCTCCGGATATTTAAACGGTATATTTGACTTGGCGACTTTTGGAATGGCGAATTGGCTCGTCATTAAAGTAATAACTCGTACATTTCCTTAATGAGATAGAATAGCTACTTGAATGTAAGCTCGAGCGCGTCACAAAGGCTCGACTCACAACGCTTTAAACTAAATTTGCATCTAGACGGTATGAAACACAATTTAAGGTTCGGATGTTAGACTATTATTATAATGACTCGGTTCGTTATCTTTATATAAAACTAATTTCGTTATCATCGCTCTTTAGCGTACTTTGATAAAGCCGTACGACGGTTTCATTGTATTTTTGTTTTTCTTCTAATAAATTTGCCGAGAGTGAAGGTATTCGCGGAGCACAGTCGGCCATAAGCGCAACGACAATGATGAAACAATCATTATTGTTTGTACGATCAATTCAATGCCCATAACATCGCGTATTTATAATAAATCGTACATTAATAAGCATCAAAAGCAATTTATCTATCAAAATCCCAGAGCTACGGACAAAGTGTATGGGAGAGAAGGAAATCAAAAAAAAAAAAAAAAAAAAAAAAAAAAAATTAAATAGCAACAAATGTTACCATTGAAAATTTCTAATTACTTTATCAGTCGAATGGCCATTTTCATAATCTTAAAATAATAATACCTGATTAAGGTAAATTGCGAAATAAATATGATTGTATGCAATATAGCGCGATTAAATAATATTTGCACAGAAAATATGGATGTTACGGAATTAATATAATGTTTCAAATATTTTTAAAGATATGAAGCCGACTCGATGATAAAACAGATAATACAATTCTAATTAAGTATTACTGGAATTAGTGTAAACGATAAAATAAATTTGATTGTTTACATACATGAATTTATTTCTTTTCGAATACAAACAATACAGTAATATCTATTATTGTATACAATAAATGACATTACGAACGTATGTTTATGAAACGTGTAATTACATATTTCAATATCAAATATCATTGAAATTAGTGCTTTTCTTGTGACATATATGATCAGGTATTAATGCTCTTTGGAGATTCATAAATATTTATATGATACATTAATATGTGGATTATTGATACAAGTGGAACGTATTGGCATTCGAGTTAAAAAAAATCATGCTCGATAAGCATATGGAATGCAAAATACATTGAGCGCGCGCGTGTGTGCGTGCGTGTGTGTGAAGTTGTCTTTTAATATAGAAAAATTAATCAAATTTATGAATTTTATTTTAGCATGTTTCAATCCTAATAATCATAATGCCTAGACACGTAGCTTATTACTAAATTGATAACTTGTATTTTATTTTGATATAAAATTATATAAAACATTTATTAAATACAAAGATAATGATCGCTTCGATGTATTATAAATGTGGATTTGTCGGTGCATACAACTTAATGATTTATACGGAATGTAATAAACGATTAACTAGGAAAATCTTTATAATAAATAATCGTTCGAATTTTCCAAATTGTACAGTGATTTACATAAAAATTTTACTCAAATATCCCGTGCACTTTTAAAGTATAATTGAATTGCTAAATCTGTCCTACATTAACTGTATATCGGGAATTTTTTTGTTTTTGTTTTTTGCTTTTGTTTTTAAACTTTAGAACTTTTGATATCTCTAGAACTTATAAATTACGAGACCTGCGCAATGAACTTCATCGATAGATATAAAATTGTCATTTGTCAATATAAGTTTGCAATGAATTGCTTTTAATTTTACTCCCGCTATCTTATCGCCGACAAATTTTATCAGATGGATCATATTATTTCATTATAATTATGGCATCAAATACTTTCAAGCACATATCTACATTCCCTATTTCATATTCTAAATAATCATTCGTAAATTCGTCACACAGCATCGAAAGTTCCATAAAATACAGGCACCATCGCACCACGTGGATACGAAGGCAAATTCAAGAGTTTATTCGTGATATTTTTACCTTATTATTATTATTATTATTATTATTATTATTATTACTATTATTATTATTATTATTATAAGCACTGCTTTATCGTTGAGCAATCGTCGAAAGGAAGAAAAAAAAATATATGAAAAACTCACATATATATATAGAAAATATATAGAAAACTCACATAAGCATGCTAGCGTAAGTATACGATAATATCGGATCAGTCAATCTCTAAAATTATATTTAATTTTACGTCGTCTTGGCAAGAAAAGAATTATAATGCATGAAAATCGAGGTAATCCAATCTCGGGATCATAAAAGCTCGGGCACGTGCACGCAAGTACATTCTCTTTTCTCATAAGTGCGCGCACATTTTTCAAAAATGCTATACCTCAATTTTTTTAGTCAATATAACCTCATAAAATTCACAGCCATAAACGTAGTAAAGTCAAATGGAGCTAAGGTTAATCGGCCGTGCCATTCTAAAGTTCCAATGTGCCATTATATTCGGCTAAATAAGCTTAAAGCACAATCGGGAAGGTCCTGGACAATTCAGGATCACGAAAGCTTCGTACATGTAGCTCGGGAATATCAAAGAGACAAAGGCCTGTGCGTGACATGTGCCATGTGATATTGCCAGGCGGAGGAGCACCAGCGTCTGCAGAAGAAGAAGGTGCAGGTACTGAGCGTGAACCACCTGAGCAGCCCGAGCAATAACAGCGCAGTCAGGAACAACGGCACCCTCGACGCTCGTCACCAGCAGCCACGATACGCCAATGCAGCGTTCGCTCGAATTGGCCGCTACGATCCACGTCCACAGACACAACAGGAGCAGCAGCAGCAGCAGCAGCAGCATCATCATCATCATCTTCATAGGCAGCAGCAACAGCAGCAGCCGCGGCTCGAGCCCGACGACGAGGAGGACGACTACGCCGACAAGTGCGCCAAGGACAGCATCTGTTGACAGTACGCCACCTACTACAGCGACGTTATGGAGACGACAGTCTGAGCCAACACAATCTCACACGTGCATATACGCGTGCACGAGCGCGTGCGCGCACAATGCTAACAGACAGACAAATAGACAGACTACCACACAGTCATAATCCACTCATCCATCCACACGTACACATACACGTACACGCCCGAGGGAAATTCTTGAATCTCTCTCTCTCTCTCTCTCTCTCTTGCTCTCTTTTAATCTCCATCCCTCCTCCCCCCCCCTCTGTTTTACATACGCAAACACCGTTACTTCTATTTTTTTTATTCAGACATGATGAGTGGCTGCGAACTTCAATCTTTGTGAAAACACCGCGCGTTTATTCACATACAAATTGTATTGCGTGTATCCGTTGTGTAACTATATGATAAATGGCAACCCTAAAGTGATAAAATAGCGAAGAAAGCTTACGAATTAATAAAAATGTATTCGGTACGATGGCTATCTGACAAGCCGAGACGTAGTTTTGTGGATGTGACTTTTGTTTTCTTCCTAATAAAAACTTCGCATGAATAAAGGACGTGATTGAATGGAAATTTTGATGGTACCTACACGTGCCCACCCACGCTCGACTTATTCCCATGCAGATAATTATATAAACGATGGACAGCCGGCGTAACCCCACGCTCTGCTCTCTTTGTATAAAAGAAGCTTTAGGTGTGGATAGGGTGGCGGTTTGGGTTTGAGTAGGGGTTAGGGATGAGGGTGACGATGGAGGGGGAGAGGGAGGGGAGGAGGAGAGAGTGAAAATAAAAGGGATAAAAATGAGAGGATAACCATGAATTTTATTATTGCATAATGCTAAAGGATAAAAATAGTCCCAAATCAAGAGGATCGCTTGGGTTACTCGGGCATTTACAATAAGCATATTCTAAGGATAGAATACGTGACCTGTTACGATGTACAACCGATCGAGTATTATTATTATCATTATTATTATTATTATTATTATTATTGTTGTTGTTGTTGTTACTTAAATGACGTTTTTTCAAGTTCGCTCGTTCTTGTTGTTGTTGTTGTTGTTGTTGTTACTTAAATGACGTTTTTTCAAGTTCGCTCGTTAAATTACATTCGCGCGTTTACGTAATTCAAAGCCCTACACGCTCTTTTGTTCGTCTAAATGTATTTTCTATTGGAAAAGTCGCGTTATGTCATTAATGCTTCTTCATCTCTCCACGTCTTCTTATTGATGAACCGCTTACATTGTCGACAAAAAAGTAGAGAGAAGCCGAGCTTACCTTGAACTCTGAATACGCGTCAAACGCGTTAGACACTTTGGTATGTAATTACGTTAATGCATTAGTGAAACAATGACGAAACGTAAAAAAAAAAAACAAATAGATAAATAGTACGAGAGGTGGCGCGGATATAAAAATGATGGTTGTATGGATTAAGGGGCGAGAGCGCGAGCGAAATAAGCAAGGGAATAACGATTATCCTTCGTATTAGTCGCGGTTGCGAATGAAAATTGAAAAAATTCTTAAGGACAACCGCCAATGTGATCTTTAGTTGCTCTATTTTAATAGCTCGCGATTCGCTCACTCTTTCTCTTCTAGTGTGTTGATCTTATTAGTCAGTTGATCAAGGCGAATAGTCGTCCGTGAGTCCGACTGGATGCAGTAAACGAAGTCTGGACCACGCTGTTCGTGTCCTCTCGTTTGCTTGGGTCCGAGTACGATTGTTGAAACTAACGACCTTTCCAAACTTTTCGGTGGAATGTGTGTATGCGGCAATGCAAATTCGAGGAGTTATAAAGTTATAAAAGGCGGAATTGTAAAACGAAGGAACACAATGTCTTGCATTACAATTTATTCATTGAGTGGATGAACTAGAAGGTGGTATATTACTCTAAGGCGCGCGCACACATACACGCACGCACGTACACAGACACACCCACACCCACACCCACACAGACAGAGTATACATGCGCATATACATATATATATATATATGTATATGTATAAATCTTTAATAATACATCCAAGTTTTATAAAATTGTATAAATTAAACTTTTTTTTTTTAAATTTTTTATTAATCAATGTATGAATTTTACAATAATTCGAGTGGAGAGTCGATAATAAAGCTGTCGTATTGTTTTAATGCGCGCGCATAAAAAACGGTAACTATATATATATATATATATATATAGAAATTGGCGTAAGGATGATTTATCAGTGTGTGCGTTAGCTACTGTTTCCCTCAAAACCGTTGCCGAGCGAAGCAAACGGAGCTTTAAGAAAGCTGCGAAGAAGGGACGATTACGCAACAACTACAATGTAATGACTGCCTGGCGTGCGTTAGTGTGATGTGAACGATTGCGCACGTGCAGTGAGATTTTTTTGTAAATTTGCGCGCTTTAGCGATGAATTAACGAAGCATACTGGGAGAACAGATGAGGACAATTATAACGTAAACATTGGAAATTGTAGATGAAATGACATGTAATGTATAGATTAAGGATTTATTATTAAAAGTGAAGCGACAGACATGAGGAAACAATTTGAAAGACTCTTTAAGCTCCTATACTCCTACAACCCTCCGGCCGTTTGTCGGTGGCACTCGACACTCCCCCATCCGGCTTTACAGACTCGCCTCGGGATGTCCAGCTCGATCGCCCCTGTACAGTTACGTCCGGATGGCCTCTCATCAAGCGGACTTCACGGCCGAGCGACTAGCGGCGACTTGACCCAGGTAGCCGCCGGCGTACGGTATCTCGTAGATGCTGGTGCTGCGCTCGTGCCAAGCTTCGGGCACCGGGTTATGGTAGAGCCCATAATTAACGCCGTTGGTCGCGATCTTCTTGAGGCCCTGGATGCTCGACAGCATCAGGGCCATTTTCGCGAGAATTAGGGCTTTACCACCCAGGACGGCGAGGAATTGGAAGCTCATCGGTATGAGGACTGTGCCCATTAGCAGCAGACCCATCATCATTATGGGCATCAGGTGCATCTGGCGGCGACGTCGCCTACGACCTGAGAGCAGAGACACGATTATTGTCACTCGTCAGCTCCACTTTTACCCTTTGACATTCGCGTTGCGATAAAGGCCCGCGCGCTCTAAGGAGGCGAAGCTTGCGCAAGCTTTTAAGCTCAGAGAAAGCTTAAAAGGTCGTTACTGCTTATGGCATGCCTAGTCTCCGCGAGTTGCATCATTTATTGGCTGGGATTTACAGGATAGATGGATCTGGTGGCGTGATAAAAACATAAGATTATTTAAGACAATTGTCGGGCTTATTATATCTTAATTTGCATTCATTTTCATTATTGTCCCAGTCTCTGAAAAAGTACCGACGATCGAGAAAGTAGATATTCGTTCGGCATTTTCTATTATATATAGTTTCTATTAAAGCCTAAACTTCAAAATCAGCTTACGGACACTTAAGATTGATCGATAGATAAAGCAAAGCTTATTCAATAGGTTATGACGAAAAAAGTTTCTTTTCTATTCTATCGTTATATATGTAAGCATTTTCAGCTTGCAATTATGAAGAAAATTATTAATTATAGATTCAAAAAAAAAAAAAAATAAATAACTTCTGAATATGAATATATTTCTATTACCTTACAATTTCACTACATTGTTTAAAAAGTATTTACGAGGAAGAGTCGAAGGCAAAAATAATAATTATTAACTCAATGATTTAGTCCACTTAGTCAAAAATTACGATACAATTAAAGTAAAAGTATGTTAGATGCTTCTATAATAATTTTAGAGCGCACAGACATGTCTTTGCAGAAATGCTAAGTATATGCTCCGTTTTCAATTGGAGGATATCATTATTTTGAAATAATGCATTTCTTCTGTCAATATATAATGTAAAATAATCACTTTAGTCGAAGACAGATGTAGTAAATTTTCAAATTCAAGGAAATAAGTAGGCGCTCCAGTCATTCATCTCAAAGAATTTAACGGCACATCCAGTGCGTGCTACAATGTAAAATACATTTTCTAAAATTGATTTATTAAATAATGGCTTTGCAGCAATTAGCATGAAATTGTAACAAACTTGGCTGTGTACTTTCAATTTTTTTTTTTTTTATTTCAATTTCTTATTGACGCACTCACTCGCGTTAATTAACTAGAAGAAGTTTATATTAAGTTATATTAGCGTCAAGTAAGATTTAACAGTTGGATAAAAGTTTTGTAACGACTCTTAATGTATGTATCATAACCTGAATCTAAATTACAAAAATAAAATTAAATACATAAATTGTCCAATTCGAATTTTTAACGACTAATTTCATTGCATATGAAAGAATGTAATTTTACCGATCAAATGTTAATAATACACTTTCTAATATCATTCCAAGGGATATTATTTTATGCTTGGGTATATGCTTCACTTGTGTGTATAGGTACAAAACAAATATAAAAACTTATAAAGAATACATTATTAAAGAAGGAAAAAATTTAATTTTAATTTTAAGTTTTATTGAAATTAAATATTCAAATTTAAATTGTGTCGGTCCAATGATATTAGAGTCCCCGAATTCAATATATCCGTACATATGATTTTTTTTTTCTTTCATATGCTTCATAAAAACTTTATCGAAACGAAAATTAAAAGGTCATGATTTAAATTCAATGTCAATAATAAAAGTATTTGATGATATTTTTGTTTGGCATGCATCTGAAGCTCTAAGTTTATTTCCCGATGATTTGACTCCGTTTATCTCATCATAATCTACCGATTATTCATATTTTGATAAATTGCTCTTGCTTTAAAAAAAAAAAAAAAAATGAATTCGATATTGATGGTAACTAATAATATTATGTTAATTAAATTTCTAGTAATGATAATAAAAAGCAAAAGAAGAAGAAGAAGAAAAATAAGGAAATGGATTACGGCAAGGATAATGATAATAATAATAGTAATGATAGTAGTGACGATTATAATGGTAATAATCATAATATTATAAGGCGACAGACATTTCAGGATAAGAAATTACTATTTTTAAAAGAGTCATGGAGTAAATTGAAGAATAAGGATTTCTATCTTCAATTTATTCAGGGTTATACGTTAAAAGATATTATCGTAATATAATAAGGATTATACGATAGGCGAGCAAAGTTCATATAAATAATACTGAAATTTTAAAATTTTTAAAATTTTGTTAATCCTATGATAAAATCTTTATTGAATTGAATATATTAGGTTTGAAAAAACCTTTTATATTTAATTATTTTTAAGTCCACAACGACCTCACTTTCCCCGATCAAAGCAAAAATATTTCATTAAATAAATAAAAATAAAATATATGTACGTAGATAATTTAGAAACGATGTGTGACTTTGGTTAGTTGTGAAAAATCAGTTTTTTCAACATCGAAGAAAATCGTTTACCTCTCGCTTCAATTTGTAAATCAGTCGAATTGCCGCTTGCACCAGTAGTAATATCCAGGATGGTGGGACCGAGTCGATCGAGGTCGACCTTAATAACGTGCGTTTTCAGTAAACGTACCATGCGACTCGTCAGTATCTGTCCCCAAGTCCCGTTCTTCTCATCCATTCGATCTTTCCTCTGCATTCTTCCTAGTAGTCTTCTAACAAATAAGCGGAATAATGTTTTTATTATTTATTATTAAGTCCGATAGAGATATATTGAAAACGATCTCCATTTGACATCAAATTGACAATTGATCAAATTGTCAATGACATCAAATCTCCATTTGACACAATTGCACTGTTAAATGTCTCTAATTTTTTCAAAATTTATATAGAATCCGCTCTATTATTTAAAGCATAGGAAACTTTAATCTTAAGAAGAAATGTTGGATCTTTTTTGTAGTTAAGAAAACCAATCGAAGTTCTGTAAAAATAAATCTTTCCTACACACGTTCGGCATCTACTTCCATATGTCCCGAACTTTTGAAACTTTTATCTTATTTTATACGACTTCTACTTTATAGAATTTTTCTATAAAATTAAAAACATTTTTCTACTCTGTTTGACAATCGAGTCATTAACCACTCTACAGGCAACTAAAATCACATATTCCGTTAATACTTTGTTTTTCATTATAGATTCAGTGATATCACGAGGACATTCCACGAGTGTATTTTAATTGACTTAATGTCTAGTGGAATATCGTGGATTGTTGATTCAGTCGTATAATCAGGAATTGCAGTTAGCTTACAATAGCAATCGGAAGTCAGAATACAATGAACTCGACGATAAATTGCAGACCCAAACGACGAACCACATCATTTCAGCATAAAATATTTTTCTTTAAGCATTTTTCTTATTATCTAATAGCAGTCATTTTACGTATAAGTTTTTATATTAAATCATTTGTTAATAAATAATTTATCTCGCGCTTTTCTTAACACGGGGATTGAAAAATTCTTATACATTCAATATCATCGTCTGCATCGTATATCGTGAAAATAATTATTACGATCGCAGATGCGATAATTACTTATTATGCATAGCAGGGTCGTGAAATTTTTTCATATTATATTCTAAAAGGAACTATAAAGGATTTCGATAATGATTTTTACTTTCATATTATTTCACTGGAAGTTGATTACATTATGATGATACAGTAAGTGCCATACCGTATACAAATAAAATATTTACCTTTTTTCAATTAAATATTCTAAATTATCGTAATTTACAAAATTAATTGCATAAACTATTGCGTTTCATTCACGTTTCAATTATAGTCTAAAAACTCATATCTTTATTGCTATTATTAATCTAATTATTATTACTATTATTTTTGTTGTTGTTGTTGTCGTTGTTACCATTTGTAATTATTATTATTATTATTATTATTATTATTATTATTATTAGTTTTGTTATTAATTTGCTGCTGCTGATGTTCTTGTTGTTGTTGTTCTTGTTGTTGTTGTTGTTGTTGTTGTTGTTATCTGCATTGTTATTATTGCAGCACATACTTGGAAAATAAGACAATAAAAATATTCTAGTGAAAGTTTCTATATGATTCTAATTGAAATGTTTTTATTTTTAACAAAAAAAGAAAAAAAAATACAATAACTAATTAAAATACAACAACTAACATCGATTTTACCGATTCTGTTAAAGTCAATTAATATGGCTGAATGTCAGTCCGGTTAGGAACTTATTATTATCGACGTAGGCTCCCTCGGACCTACTTTGCCACAACTTTGGCAACTTAGTGGTCGCGTGCCGTAGCCTTGGATCTACTTACCTAATGTCCAGGTCCACGGTGTTGTTCGTACCGAGCTTGCCGAATCTTACGAGCTCGATCCCTTCGACGAGGCCGATCACATCTCGGCCGAGGAACTGGTCGACGGCCCCGAGGGCCCTCCGACGCGCGCACAGATCCAGTCGCGTGCCCCGACAGTCCTCGACAAAGCTCCGAAGTGCTTCGAACCAAGTTGGCGGGCTCGCGGCCCTCAGTCCTCCCATCATCCAGGCGAGGAGTAGTACCCGCGCGAACATGACTTCGGCGAGGTTATGCGCCTGGTGCGGGTCCGCGTCCGCCTATTTATCGGCTGCGCTCCCATGGACAATCGTGTCACGAGTGCATCGAGTGCACCTCGCGTGCCTCGCCGAGCATTAAGGCCCGCAATTAAGGCCCTCCTCCCGCCTAAGCGTCGGCTGACTCCGAAAATCACTTCGCCCTGTCTGGTTATCGACCGTCTTCCTCCTTTCATTCCCCTCTCCCCACTCTGCCGTCCTCATCCGGCACCTCCACCCACCCGCACAGACGGGGCCTCGTTCGTATTCATCTATCGCGAATCAAGTTCGCGGGCTTTCGAGGGCTTTTGGGCTTAGAGTTTCGTCGGGGAGGGAAGTGGCGGATAAAGGCCGAGGGTAACCGAAACTGAATCGAATATTATTGCGCTTTTGGTCTTATTGAATTGATTTATTATCGCGTCGTTAGTACGATGTGGAAGTGTTCGTGACACTTACCCCTGGCTAAATGGTTAAAGAGTTTTATATTGGATTTCTTCATAATACTCCTAGAGCCTCGTCTCTTATTTTTCATGCAGCCGAGTGAGCGGCCGTGAGTGACGGTTTGCGCTGTGCATTGAACTAATGGCACATCTTATTCAAGTAATGGAATAAATTTATGAAACGGTGCGATATTCTTACACGCCCCGGTTCAATCAACAAATCAGCATTAGAAGATAATTTTGAAAATGCCGGCTTCTCATTTTTATTATTACGCTATTAATTCGTCCATACCAATATGCCTGTATTATCGTCGTCGCTGAAACAATAATCTACGATTAAACGATGATTGAATAACGCAATTATTTGACTCGAGTGCCAACGCTGTCTATTTCACAATGGATAAATAAATGAGAAGAAAACGAAGTAAAAAATAAAAAAATATCACGAATGAAAAGAGTAAGTGAATAAGAGGACGTAAGAGAGCTTTTTGTACAGTTAATTAAATTATAAGAATTTTGCGTCGGGGCGATTAATGTAAAATGTAATCGCGCGAGGCAGTCGTTGTGGAAGCAAAGGATAAACGAAATCTATAATCGTAATTGGATAGAAATGTTTCGACATTGGCAGTGGCCACACAATTAGTCGCGCTTCTTCTTCTCAAAAAAATATTCTCGAATAATGTGGTGGCGCAGCAGCGTGAAGACACTCGTCAATCCGGCCAAAACGTACTCGCGGTACGTTTCTGACGCATTACGTCAATGTCCGACATGAAGAGCCTTGGCATCGACACGCAACAGATAAGGATCAGGCGATGGTGCGATTAATGCCGATAGCGTGAAACGTGACTCCGGCGGATCGCGCGTTATCGCGAAATTGTCGGGTGGCGGTGGTTGCGGTAGGGGGCGCGGGAGGTGGAGGAGCTGCCCCGGAAAGCCGGGAAAAAGATGGTGCTGATGGGTGCGAGTATAAAAGTGAGCACGGGCCAAGAAATTACCGGTCGTCGTTTCAATCCCAGGGTAAGATGGTTGGCTACACGCTCGAGGAGGTCGCGCGCCACAATGGAAGGATCGAGCCAAGATGCTGGATCATTGTCCGCGGTGTTGTTTACGACGTCACGGATTTTATGGCCGAGGTACGGATGTAGGGGGTTCTCGTTTTTTAGCGCTCGGACGCGCTCATTGTGTGCAAAATTAATGCTCGCGCGACAACGGGGCATTGCTTTGGATTTTCCGGGGCTTGTAAGGGCAACGAGGCTTAAAGATACGTAATGAGGCTCGATACGCGAGGTGGTTGGGGAAAGTGAAGGTGGGCGGGGGAGGAATGCCCGGTTTAGCTTCGGCAACCGTTTCGGCAGAACTCCTTGCTGGAGCGCACGCTTCACTCGGAAATGCGAGGAACGTGAAACGTAATCGTGAGCTTAAGAGGGGAAGGTCGGCTTAAGATATATATATATATATATATATATATATATATACCTGAAAGTGAAGGAATTAATTCAATAAAACACAAAAGACTCAACGAACATTAGTATTGTCCTTTAATAACTATAAGATGCTTTACAAAACTATAGTGTACAAATAGAATGGAATACAGCGATTTAGTGCAATTATACTGTTGAAAATTTTTGACGTAGCATCCTGGAGGAGCCGAACTTATCGCCGAGCGTGCTGGAACGGATGCAACGTCAGCCTTCGAGGATCTTGGCCACTCGTCCGATGCAAAAAAGATACTAAAGAAATATGAGATCGGATGGCTGGCAGAGGTAGGTTAATCCTCGGTGTTGCAATTATTCCTCGAGCAAATGACGTGTATACCATAAACAAACATAACCTTTTGCGGGTAGACGGGCGGGAGAGAAAGCAGCGAGGAGGCGCCGACGAGTGATTTGGCCGTGGCCGAGGGTGTCCCGATCAAAAAATCCAATTGGCGGCAGCGAAGGTAAATAAGACTTTTGGTAAGAATTATCTTATCGAGGGTTCGTGCAAGCGGATAAAGATGCGTTGTGACAGCCAGTGAGAAAGGGAGAGTGAGAGATAGAAAGAGATAGATATAGAGAGAGGGGTAAAGAGATAAAAAGATAGATAGATAGAGAGAGAGAGAGAGAGAGAGAGAGATAGTGAGAGAGAGAGTTAGAAATAGAGAGAGAGAGAGAGAGAGAGAGAGAGAAGTGAGACGGGTGGGAAGATTTCGTGTTCAGTCGGTGCCAATAAACGTTGGTGGCCGGCGCACCCGAGGATGCGCTGGGAAATTAATAACAGTGTAAGGGGATGATAAGACACGCAGAGGGGGCGCAAGGCCGCATTGCCGAATTCTATGTTCTTGGCTCGTTTCCAGGAAGTTCCTAAGCATGATCCTCGGGCCGTGCGCGTCGACGTGAAGCCTGGGGAACGGAGCAGCTCCGCCCCGAAGCCTCAGATCCAGCCCCCGACTATCTGCCCCGTGGCCTTCGACTTGCCCCGCTGTTTGGTCCCGGAGGGTGCGTCATCCTTTGGCGGCTGAGGCGCCGCCATGGGCATCTGCTCCAGCTTCTTGGATTGTACCGGGACCTGCTTCTCCTCCTCCTTCTTCGGGGGACTCATCGCAGGCTTGATCGAGGAATTGCGCGCCAGTGAGGATTGTCGCGCAGGAAGCGCCGGCGGCTTCGGCTCCTCGTGCGGCTCCTCGGCGATGGGCGAGGGCGCGCGCGTCTCCGTCGACGGCTTAGCCTCGAGGCTGGGCCGGCTCTGTGTCGTCGAGGACTGCTTCTCCCCGCTACCGCTTCTGCTCAACGACTTCTTGCTCAAGACGCTGAAGGTCCGGGCTGCTGAGGCTGCCGGACGCTCGATCTTGGCCGGCTCCGTGATCGCCACACGCTGACTGGATCGATGGGACTTTTTGTCGCTTTCGACTGCTGTTTCGATTAAGGATCGAATGATCAGTATTTTGTTCGTTCACTCGGCACAGTGTTCGTTTCGCACTGGCGGACAGATCGTCGGCTTTTCACGACACAAGCTGGACGAGAGAGGGAAGGGGCGGGGAAGAGAGTATCGATATGTCCCGAGACATATGACAATGTGACCAGTGTAAATGTAAATGTGCATGTAAATTAATATTTATACCAAAGTTGTTAATTATTAAAATGTGTGTGCTTCCTCCGAGCCCACTAGCTACTTATTGCGTTACACCAGCTCCTTATCCTTAAACCACGTAAAGTTCGTTGAATTAATTATTAATCAGGCCAGGTATTATCGTCTGCTTCTAAATATCTCACCGAATTAAAATTCAGTTAGATTTGCAAATTCTCAAATAATTATAAGTAATTGTAATTTGATGTATGATAATTGAAGTATCGCACTTAATTCTATTGAAAGAGTCTCTTTTAACGTCTGTACTAATAAATAGAATTTTTTGAAAAATCGTAATTTAAATCTTGGGCATTTACATTAATACAATTAATACATTAATAGGTGAAATATTATGTAAACTGAAGCAAAATAACGCACTTAAATATCAATCAACTTGATTGTTTCATAAAGTTCTTTAAAACTTTGTACTAAAAATTTACGATAATACATAATAAATTATAGGAAATTTGATAGAGAGCTTATAAAATTAAATTTCATCCAAATTCCTCACTCATTGTGTGTAGATGTAATCTGATTTATATGTGTGTGCGTGCGTGCGTGCGTGTGTGTGTGTGTGTGTAGATAGATAGATAGATCGATAATATTCAATCGAAACGTTTTTAAATCTGTGATTTAGACTTTATCGCTCGTACGTTTTACACAAAGTAAGCACAGTGAATAACATGTGGAACTATCGCATTGCTTATCAGCCACTTGATAGGGAAACGACTTTTATACGAATGTTAGTTGGTTTGTTTACAAGACTCATCGCGTACAATTGAAAACTCATTTAATTTAGTCGACGAATAATTGTGCGAGAAAAGACAGAGGAAGCCCATAATCAAGCTATTAATTCACTACCTCCGCAATTAGCTTTAAATTTATCATTAACGAAGCAATCGTATTGGTAAGAGTAGCCGATACTATGATTAATTAACAAGTACGGGATAAAGTTAATAAAGCCGTTTAGCTGATAGAGCGACGCGTAATTTGAGAAGTTTCTTGGACATTGTACGCAAGGGTTTGCACAATTTCCGACATTCTCCCAGCAATAAAGAGGAAGAGAGAGAGAGAGAGAGACAGAGACAGAGACAGACAGACAGACAGACAGAAAAAGAAATAATTAAATCTCGTGGAATTTGAATGTGGGGGCAAATCTTATTATCGACGAGCCAGTCGCCTCGACTCGAATATACGTAAAGGCACAGGACGTTATCTGCCTCTAGGAGTGGCGTTCGGAGTAAAGTGGGGAAATGTCGAGGAATACCGGTGCTCGGACTTACGAGTGTACAACCAGCTTGGTAAAGGATTACCTAGACGCTTGGGTGGGATGGGGTGGGGGGGGGGGGG